GGCAGGTGAAGCGCCAGTGGGAAAAGCCGGGGCATTGGGAGCTGGAGCGAGACCAGCAGGAGGAGGAGGCCGAGCCGGCGTTGCCCAAGCCCGGAGCCTCCGGCCTCCACGAGAGCATCCGAGCTGCCACGGAGGGGTCAGACCACGTCCGGTGTCGCACGGGGGCAGGGGGCAGAGGCCTTGTGAGCTGCATGAGTGTGGATCAACACTCGTGCTGGCTCGGTGTCTGGAGCGGTTGCACCCCGAGTCTACAAACCTCGGGCTGTCCCCACGCACAGCCGTGACCCGCCACGAAAGGCTGGGCTCGGAGCCAGCGCTGTGAGGTGCCACGACCGGCTTGTCACCCCGCTGCCCCCGTGGAGGCGGGTGGAGGTCCTGGGACTTCCCTGCGGGCAGCACATTTGCACCCCTTGGTGACTCCTGCCCTGGGCTGGCGTAACTTTGAGCGCTTAAACCTATTTCTCCAGCTACCGAGCCGGTTTAAAAAAGAAGACGTCGCATTTCCCCCAGGAACCGTGTCTGCCCAAACCCCTGCGACGGTGCCGCTGTGCACGCAGGAGCTCCCCGGGGCGCCCTGGAAGAAGGAGTCTCCCCTTCCCCTCTGCTCCGCTCCCCTCCGCGCTTCAGGTGCAGGCAGCCCTGGGGCAGGGCATTGCCCCTCGCCCCCTGCCCCTCTCCTCGGGACCCCAGGGGCTGTGCTGCTGGGAGCCCCGGTCCAGCCCGGGCTGGGGCACAGCGCAGCCCCTGCCCCTGTCCCCCGTCTCTTACCAGCCATGGCGGGTCGGAGGCAGCCGGGCCGGTCCCAGCTTGCAGAGCCGCTTCCCCAAGGGCAGAGCCGGCTCCGGGAGGCGATGCCAGCAGTGCTCAGCCCCACCCAGCTGCCCGCGGGGTCCTGCCGCCTCGCAGCAGCCTCCTGGGTCCCTGCGGCGCCCGGCGAGAGCCAGGGAGACAACTCCCCAGTGACTTTCCCTTCTCCCCTTTGCATTTCGTAACCCTCCCCTTTTTGCAGCCTCTCCTGCCTGCCTCCTCCGTGTCCTAGGGAAGCTCACTGCCCTCCTCGGGCTCCTGGCTGAGCCGCGGGGACCAGAGTTATCCAGGCGTGGAGGCACCGAGGGGCACGTCTCCCTTCATCCTCCTGTTTGCCTTTTGGACCGCTGTTTTTAGGGGACTGCCCCAAGGACCCCTAGCTCTGCTCCCCATATGGGAACAGCTCGCGTCGAGCCCATCCAAGCAGAGGTCACAGCCAGGTGGACCTCTGTTAAATTGCCGTTGAGCTGCCCCTTGGCTCGGTGCCCCGAGGCCCACCCGCCGTGCTCTTCACTGTTTTGAATCGTTTGGTGTCATTGGCAGACTTGGCCACCTCCTTTTCCAGATCGTTTATGAACGCGTTACACAGCACCGGCCCCAACACAGACCTGGGGGACCCACTGCTTGCTTCTTCCCATCCCCAAAACTAACCATTTGGGCTCGCTCTTTGTTTTCTATCTTTAAGCCACAAGCGGAGGTTCCCTGCAATCCTGGTCTACCTAACCTCACAAAGAGCAGCTGACGGGGGCACAGGGCAGGAGCGATACAGAAGTGCTGCTTCTGCACCGTGGAGCCGTGAGGATACGCAGCTGGACGGCAGACCTAGAAAGGGGCTACCGAAAAGATAAACCTGCTACAGGTACATGACCAAAAATGCCCGAGAACCCCCTCACACCAGGTCCCCAGGCCTCTGCCTCCTAGGCCTTTCATAACACCGAGCTGGCTGCTGGCCCATCGCGCTGGGTGACTCAGCCGAGCAAAACCTGCCCCCCAGACCATATCGTGTTTGCAGCGCTCCACCTGAATTAAATTGGGCGCGGCGCTATCAAACAGTAATGAACTCAAACAAAAGATCTTGCTCTGCGGCTGTGGGTGGAGAACGGCATTGCGTGAGTCCCGCGCACCTGCAGAGCTAAGTCGTGGTAGAGGTCATGGTTTTCAAAGGTGTCGACAGGCAGGGGGGTCCAGACTGGCACGCACGTTACGTGCAAGAACAGCAGCCTTTTCTATTGTTATGGCAATGGGAGAGCTTGAGCAGGGAGACTCTGTGCGGGCCTCAGTCGCTGCTATTGCTGTTGTCCTCCCAGGTTGACTGGGTGCTGCGCATGCCTGGGAGGGCGCACCTTGCCGATCGCTGCCTAGCCCAGGGGAGAGCGTAGCAGACCCTGCCACTTCTTTTCCTGTCCAAGACCTTTCCAAAGCCAACTGTATGCCCATTTCAGAGCCTGGCTCCAGATGTTCATCTGCGCCGAAGAGCCTGCAGGTCTCTGTGACTGCACCTGACTTCGAAGCCGGCACTCGGAAGCAAAAGGGACTTTGAACATTTGAGCCACGGGGTCTGGTTGCAATCCTGAAATGCCCCTTGCAGAGAGGAACCTGCCACCTCTGTTCTGACGCCTTGTGTAGCTCAGTTTGTACCTCGGGAGGGTACTGGGCTGCTTAGAAATGCACCAGAGGTGAATTAGTTACCTTTTCACTCTCCGCATTTAGCACCCTGTTCACTCGAGAGCTGAACTAAGCAGCTCGTAAGGGCCCGCTCAAAAAGGCCAGACCCGGCGTGCAGGCCAGGGACACAGCGACGCCGAGGACCTGCTGCCCCGCTCAGCCCCAGTAAGCGGGTGTAGGCCAGACCATGCTCCCACACTACGAACTGAAGGGGAGCAGGTCCATGACCTGCAGCCGGGCTCCTCTGGCCTGGGGTGCTGCCCTATTGCTTTTGCTTTGCAGACTGGCCTTACTGACCCCAGCCTCTGCATGAGCGACACGGGGGAGTGGGGGCTGGGGCCTGCACCTGACCGTACTGCAGCTTGGGATGCTGCTGCCCAGTCACAGTGGGGCCCTGGAAACACTTTGTTGACTGTGGTTGGTATCTAGAGTAATAATTAGAGAAACAAGAGGGGGCCCCTGGAGTCCCCCCCCATTCCCATGGTCCTTAGTCCAGCCACAGGCAGCATAAACAAGCTAATTAAGCACCAGGCAAGTATGCACACACATGCTCACAGCCACGTGCAAGCTTCACTCGCGGGCTGGAGGTCCCAGAGCCCTGCTCAGCACGATCCCTGTCCTCCTCCTCAGTTGGCCCCCAAGGAAATGGGCTCTCAGCTCCCAGCAAGGCAGGACTGCGCCACCAACGTGACAGGAGAGAGGTCGCTGCCTTTCCCCAGCGCCTGAAACCAGGGGTGCAGATTTCCTCCCATGCACTAAACCGCAGTAAGGGAAAAACAGCGTCTGGCCTGAGGGAAGGGAAACAACGGCAAAGAATGATTTACAGCTCACTGCCCCGGGCGGGCCGTGGACAATAAAGTTCAGCAATGCAAGCCGCCCCTGGCTCCACAAACGCCGCCCTGACATGCTGCTGGGTCCTGGCACGGCCTAGCTTTAGCAGCACTCCTCGGGCATCACGCCAACGAAGCATGACTGGCAAACTCCACTCTGCCCCATAGCTCCGCTTTCCCCCTCGGCAGGGAACTGCCCTCTTCAAAAAGCACGAGCAAAGGTCTTGCTGAAAGTGAGCAAGTTTGAGTGCGGTCCCGAAGACGGCGACGCACAGCTGTCTGCTGAGAGCGGCAATTTCTGCATTTGAGAGGAACCCAAGAGCTGTCCCGCCCTGGGCATTGGGGTTGCAACTGTGCTGCTTTCTGTCAGAGCAGAGCAAACGCCATCAAAACTGACAGAGGAAGGAGTGTGGAGCCAAGTTATTCTCACTGAACGGTCACAGCTGGGTTAGCTCCAGGAAGGCTGATGGAGCGGAGAAAGGCAGGCAGGAAAAGGGGGTTTTGAAAACTCTGGAGATGCTTTTTTCCACTCAGTAACAAGCCACAAAGCCCAGCAGTGACCTGCACCTCACCTGGAGGTGACGATCCAGCCCTAGAAAGGTCCTAAAGGAGGGATCAGTCCTCTCCAGCCTGTCTCTGGCCTGGAGCTCTTCTCGAAGAACCAGGGCACTTGGGGACCTGCACAAAGGGCTTTCCCATCAACAGCTGCCTTGCTCCCAGTTGGAGCACTCAATCCCAACTGGTCACCCAGTTGCCAAGCCCTTTTGTGCCTGAATGTTGGCTTAGCTTTGCTTGCAGGCCAGGGCACGGATATACGGAAAGCCTTGCTTCTGTCCACAGCGCTCTCTAAACGGCATCTTTGTTAACCATTCCTTTCCATGCTTTCTAGCCACTGCTGCTCTGGCTCTGTGCGCCAGCCTCGTACCCAGCCTAGGCCAGGAGAGGAGAGACTTGCTCGTTTGCCTCTGCAGCCAAGCCAGCAGACAGGTAAGAAATACCTCAATAGAGAAAGCATGGCACTGGCCAGGCCCTGGGGCTGCAACTGCTCCCTGTCTTACAGGGCACTGTACATTGCTCCAAGCTAAAGCAAAGTATTTGCTCCTGCTATAATATCAGCACTTTGTCAAGTGGAAACAAAGGACAAGTATTTGCCTCTGTATCCAGCTCCTGGTTACAGCCTGACGGTGTTGCTCTGGCAGGCAAATCAAAGGGGAGGGCTACTGCAATGCTGCACCTGCCTCTGCCCAGGTGTGGGCCCTTCCAGCACTACACGCCATCCTCGGGCTGGGCAGGCGTGTCCCTGCCACGTGCAGAGTCCCTTATCCATTAGATTTGCACGCAGCATGCTCCTGCCACTGGGGTGCTGTGCACCAGCAGGATGTGAGATACATCTGGGACTACAAGAAAACACTCAGCTCAAACTGCAGCAAATTCAGCTGTGCATGTGTCCGCTAATTCCAGCACTGGGCTGGACACCTTTGCACCCCAACTGGAGGGCATCCTGCATCTTATAAACAGGAACAGGGGGAACCACAGCAAGATGTACAAGCCAAGCACAAGAGCCCGCGTGCAGCAGTCAGCTGAGCAGCAGCTGCCTTTGCAGCACCGGTAGGCTGCAGTGCCTCAGGACACAGATGCTCTTTCTCCACATGCCGTCTTAGAGCATAAGAATTAACCACAGAACTCTCTCAACTGCAAGCGAAACAGCCACGTGCTGCCATGACCTTATTTATTAAAAGCACTGAAGTGTCCAACGCTGCCACACATCAGAAGCAAGCAAAATATACAGCCAGATCCAGTTCGATAGATGCCTCACGTCAAAAGAGGCCTGATGCTCTATGCGCCCAGGTGAGCATGGAAAGCAGTGGCACCAGGGCCTTCCCAGTGCCACCAGCTCGGGGTCTGCACAGGGAGACCCAGCAAGAAGCCTCGCTCTTGCATGTGCATCAGGCATGAAAATGTGACTTATTGCTCAGCTGACCCAAGCAGACGGCTCTTCCTCTCCCTTCACCGCTTCTTCACGAACTTCCTCGTAGCGGCGTTGGGATTCACGCGGCGCCGGCCTGCACCCAGGGCCGCATCCCGGATGCGCAGATTGGCTGCACGGCTATAGATGTCGTTTTCTGCAAAGGGAGAAACCCCCGCGATGTAGTCGGGGTCGAAGACGTTGGTTTTCTCCCTGGCTTTTCGGGAAAGCCGCTGCTGCGGGAACTGCTGGTCCTCCACCAGGTGAGGGTTGCTGGCGTGCTTCCCCCCTTGGGGAGCGGGCAGGGGGTACTGCAGGGACAACAAGAGCGAACAGAGTGAGAGCACAGCAGCTAGGCAGAGTCTGCTCCAGACTCGGGCCAACTGCTTCCCAATGAACTCCCAGCACAAATGGCCCAAGGCTCAGGGAGCCAAGTCTATGCAGGGGAGGAGCCCAAGGCCAAAGATGTGAGAGACTTTGTTGCCTAGTAGACATAGGTTCAGTAGTTCCAAATTGAAGCAGGACTCGGATCAGAAATGGGGTGAGGTGGCAGCAAGCCCTGGAACAAGCTGCCATCTCTAGCAACATTTACAAGTCTGGGTGTAGGAAGAGCTACTCCAATTCGGCCACAGCTACTGGATGCAAAGCAGGAATTAGCTCCACTCGTGCTACACTGCAGGTCAGACTAGGTGACCCTGACAGTTTCCATAGGCTAGAGCTGGAAGAAAGCTGCTGCAGCAGCAGCGGGACAAGCCCCTCCATTGCTTCGTAGGTCCCATTTGAAACGACTCCTGCTACCCCAAGCTCGCTGCCCAGAGGCCAGCACTCTCCCCTCTTGCTGCTGCGTCACAACAGCAGGGCAGCTCCTGTCCCGCCCCGTCCCTGTGACGAGTGCTTACCCGAAGCCCTCGTGGGTTCAGGACTTTCGGGTTGCGAGAGAAATGCATGTGCAGGCTGCCGTCATCGCTCACACTCACGGCAACCTTCTTCAGAGTCTTGTTGCCACAGTGTGGACAGAAGACCTTGGTCATGTCGGATGTCGTCCTGGGAGACAAAGGGAGGGGGAACAGGTCAGCATCAGAGGCAGATCCACCCTGAAGGGATCTCCACCAACAGGATCAAGCTTCCGGCCGGTCTAGATTCCAGGGCTGAGCTACGTTCGGAGAGATGGAACCGCCCCTACCATGCACAGGAGCAGGAAGAGGGCGGTGCATTCGCTTAAGTGGCCAGGAATGAAAAGCAGGCAAGTTGTTAGCTCAGAAGATAAGCCAGTGTCTTCAGTGCCAACTTAACCCAGCAGGCATTGATCCACAACCCCCTCCCCACCTGGGCCAGGTGTACGTCCCTGCTCTGGTAGCCACCCCTGAGCCTTTGCTGCTAGAGATGGGAAGCTTGGAAAACCTTCGCGGCCCTTCCACCTCGGGAGGGGACTGCGCAGTGAGCCCGGGAGTGAAGACACAGAGCACTACAGCCCCCAGGCTCCTCCCTGCCAGGGGCACCGGGCCTCTGGTGCCAGTTCAGTGCTTGCGACACGTACTTGAAGCAGCCATGACAGCGCAGGACGTAGTTTCTGGCCTGGCGGATCAGCATCCCATTCACTGCCAGCACGTGGAGACCCATCTGGAGCAGAACGTTCTGCAAGGAGAAAGGAGAACTGGGGGGAAATACCCTCCGCGGGGAACCTCCAGGGACTGAGAGCACCGGTAGGAGGCCTGGAGAGGGAACGGAGTAAACCCCTGCCTTGTGCTGCGTGGAGAAAGACCTTCTTGGATACCGCAGAAGTAGTTAGGGAATAGCTACACGGGCAAGGCCTGGAGGGCTGATCAGGGAATGGCACTGCTGCTCCTCACCGGTACAGCCACACACGCAGCCTTCAATCACAGCAGGCGGCCACCTAGTCGAGGGACCTCGTTGAAAGCAGCAAAAAAAGACACCCCCAACAAAAGCAAAGCACTGCAGCGCCCAGTCGTGGAACACCCTGCCCCAAGGAGAAGCTTGTACCCTGAAACCACTGCTCTAGTCTCTTGCCAGCGTTCACCTGACGCATTGCTTAACGCAACGGGTGGGCGCCCTAGTTACAGATGTGCTCAAAAGGAAGTCCTCAGCTCTTGACCTCCACCACGCGGCAGCGATTTCCACCTGTCAGCCGCGTGCTTCATAACAAAGCTACGCACCTCGGTGAGGATGTGCTGCTCTGGTTTCAGAGACGGGCTCCGTGGCTTTGCATTAAGGGAGGAGAACAGTGTTTGCAAGTGTTACTTCAAACAGCTGCCACGTCTCCTCTCCGTAGCTCAGCTCCTTTCTCTTGGTCGCAACGTTTGCCACGGCCCTGAGCCCCTTCAATCCTAGCTGCCTGTCTGCAGGAACAGGACACCACGCGCCACGTCTGTGAGACTATATCAGCTTAACTTGCACTGTCACCATGGGTCTCACCAGTCACTAAGCGCTGGAGGGTTCCCTCGCTCTTCTTGACCAATCTTTGCAGGCTCAAGGCATTCCTCAGACAACACCAGCTCGTAGTTTTCAGGCGGTTTCTGCTTATAAAAGATGCTAGAGGAATTCTGTTGTGCAGAACTCAGAGAGACCACACCAGGGCAGAACGGGTTAAAACACCCTGGGTTCCTGCGCGAAATCTCTGGGTTTAATCCTGCGAATCACGTTTGCACACCTAACGGTGCTAGCACGGCATGGCGTGCTGGGGCACCCCTGAAAGGATCCAGGCAGCCCAGGGTACCACGGGACCCTGGTTGAGAATCACTACATTAAATCGATGCCGCCTGCACCCCTGTTCTGCACGGGCCTTGCAGCCCCCCAGCCAGAGTCAGGGTTGCGTGAAGGGCTGCGCAGGTCCTGGCTTTCCAGTGTTCAAGCTGGCAGGGCCGTAGCTCTTCGATTGCTGTTTTTTAAATGCTGGAGGGTGGTGGAATTTGGCATCTTGAGCAGCACTGGGCATCATTAGTTCTGTTTTAATGAAGTGCCAGGACCCTTAATTAACCTCTTGCCCATTAAACTGGCTATTTTATTCCTACTTTTGGCTTGGCTTGGGTTCCTCACTTACGCTGCTTGCTCCGAGACACCCAGCTTTTTGGAAGTCCCTATCCTCAACCCCGTGAGACTCAACTTTCCTTCCCTTTGAAAAAGACCCAGTGTTTTTATCCCAAATCACACGCGCTTCGTCTGGCGCCTTCCTCGCTTACCTGCATGGCAAAGTCGGTGGTGACGCACCCAACCTGCACGTCCGTGGGGGGAGCATCGCAGCGCCCCACGTCCTCCTGGATCTGCTTGATGTTGCTGGGGGTTATCCAGTCCTTCTCGTCATCGCTGTCCTCTTCGCTCTCCTCCTCGGAGGCGCTTTCCTCTTCCTCCGCAGCAACGGAGACCGGATCGCCTGTCTGCGGGGGACAGAGACCCTGTCAGCCGTGCCCACGCGGGCGAGACGAGCCCTCCCAGAGAGGAGCCGGCAGCCTCAAGCCTAGAGGTGAGCAAACCCAGGCAGAAGCCATGGAGTGAGCGGCAGGGACGATGGGGGCGGCGCGCCGCTGCTCACCAGCAGCTCCCGCAGGTCCTCCTCGATGCTGGGCAGGGGCTTCCTCCAGTACAGGAAGGAGCCGAACTCGGGGCTCTCGCACGGCTGACCCTCCGACACGGCCGCAGGCGCCTCTTCCTCTGGGCGCACGCACTGGGTTTGGACGGATTAAAGGAAGTTACCGGGCAGCGCTTCCCCCGGCCCGCACCGAGCAACGCCTACGGCCGCGGGGGCGCCAGGCGTGCAGGACACTCCCGCCACGTACCTTGGACGGCAGGTGAAACCCAGGGACGTGCACGGGGGCCTCCGGGTGCCGAATGCTGGAGCTCAGCTTTACCTGCAGGGCGGTGGTCGGTTGTGTGCGCTTTCACCCCGGAGTGGGACGGTGCCTCTGCCCTGCCCCACCCCGGGGCAGCGCTCCAGTCAGTTCCCCCCCCCCAGCCCCGGTACCTGGTGC